AGAACTGTATAAATTGAAACTATGTCGATGCTTTCTTCGTTCAACATATTATTTGAAGAGAATTTTTGCTAAGTACATTTCAGTTAAAACTTTTTCGTTATATTCGGTTTGATGTTAAAAAATAATTTGAAGAGTAACACATTTAAAGCGGCAAAATTTTGACGTTAAAATGACATTTTATTTTGAGGATGGGGGAAATAATATAATCTAATAAGTTATCATCAGAGACAACTGTACTTGGTCGTTATTTTCAGAAAGATGCGAAAAGTATAAACATGTTGGTATCATTATAACTTCTTTCCTACCTATGAAATTTAATTTTTTCTCCACTTAAAACGTCTCTTTACGCAATTTATCGCAGAACACGATTACACCATATTTAGTTTTTACGAATCTTTCACATACACTAACTAAATCGCACAAAAATTCAAGAAATCAATCAATGTCATACATGACATTTACTTCAAAGTTTGTTTACGGCATTTTGTACCGGTATACCCGTATACCATCCTTTGTTTTACCGGTATTTGCCTCAACTAGCTTCATCTGCCTTGCACACATCAACGCGATTGACCTCTCTTTCTAGTCCATAGTTTACTAGGTCTATGATTGGCACATAAGATTAATTGTTGTCACCACAGTTATTACTAGTTGTATATTGTTTAAAAATGACTTCTAACATTGATTACTTAAATAGTAAAGCAGAATCGCGATTAATACCGCAAGAATCGCTTATAGAAAAGAATACGACAAGTTCATCAAAGGATGGAGGAGCAAAAGGTAACAAATACAGATGAACGAGTTGTGCTTGCTTATCTTCAGAGAATGCCAAATGTATTAATTTGAACAGCATTCCATCTCATTTAAAAAACCGAAGTATTAATATTTCAAACAATACCAACTGCACATTTCACATTCATTTAAATAATTCAGATCTTAAATATTTTAATAAAGCTTTTTAAACATTTGTTAGTTATATTTTATTTGACGTTACAAGGTCCTTCTGTCAGATCAATAATTAAAAAGGTGACATTTAGACTTGACGTTTCTCGGGTTCTTGATGTTGCCATGGTAACTTTAAAAGTTGGATTTAAACACTATGGGGCGTGCTTTAAATAAGCAAAATAGGGTACTAATAAAAAAATTATATAATTAGCCTTGGATTTCTTTGACATTAAACGTCATAGTTTTGTTGTTATTGTGAAGGTTAAGTGTGTTTGTTTGTTTTGACATTGTAAATGTGAGGTAAAAATGGACAAATTATGTCAATGAGACATAGAATTAGAAAATAATCCTCTGAAGTCACGCAATATGCAAGTAATATAAATTCTTTTACCGCAGAAATCAAAGCAATATATCAAAGATAAAGCTTTTTATGAACTGGAAACCAAACAACATTAACACCTTATCAGAAAACGTTTTGTTGACCTTTTTCAGCAATTTACCAAAAAAATTGAAGTCATGAACTTTACAAAAAAATATATATTAGATGCTGATAATAACGATACATGTAAGAAAAATATATTTATTAGTTACAGTTTTATTACACAACTTATTTTAGGTTGCCTTTGTAACTAATTTATGGGAGAGCTTGTTGAAAAAATTTACTTTGCAATGTCAAAATTTCATGTAAAGAACTTGAGCTCAGCAATAATTAATTGCTTTTCCACATACAAAGACAGGAGACCAACAGAGTTTAAAATAAGATAGTTGGAAAGAAATATTCTGTTCTAAGATCGTTCGATGTTCTTTTTAATAATTTTGTTATAAATTTTGAAAAAGACAAAAGCACTAGACAAGTAATTGGAATCAACAGTCTAGGCAATATACCCAAACAAACTGCCACACTTCTGAATCTCGAAAATCCTCAAAAATACAACGGTCACTGTTTTCGTCCTAATATACATCCGCTACAATGTTAGTAGATGCAGGAAAAGATATTATAACTTTAAGGTGGCGTAATGGATGAAAGTTTTCTGAAGTTGCAGGATATGTTGATAAACCATTACAAAATCTTATAGACCCAGCAAAAAATATAGTATCACAGTTATTGGCTCTGATTCTTTGTTTTCTGAGCCGTCCACTTCCAATTGCAATTTTCACATAATTGTTTTTAAGAGTACATATACATGTATTTATTAAATTATAACGATAAACATAAAACTGTATGTCAGTAACCAAAAGATTATAACCTGAAAAATCTCATTATTTAGAGGAATAGTTGAATTCGACCACTGTTTAAGGAACTTTATCTTTCGATTTACAAATGCTGTCTTGAATTAAATATGTCTTGACATCCAACGTCTTGTTTTGAAATTTTCCACAACGAAGAATTAATTATTCAGATACACTTAAATGATCACGATATAATAATAAAACTCAACTAAAGATATTATAAACGTCATAGCTGTCACTTTAATGGAATTCCGCTGTTGATTTAAATTTAACTACAAGTGTTACAGCGCTTCCGGTGGTTGCATCGAGAAACGCGATTAGCGAATCATATTTAAAAATACAAATAAACGACACGGATTTTAAAGTACCCAGCTAGTGCAGTTCATTCCCTTCTAGTACGGCAACGCGTCACGAGAGGCGCTGCTGTAACACGAAATGGCGGGAAGTAGGGATTGTGTAAAATCTCAATGTTTCATATAAATTTGAGCAATTTTTAAATTTGTTTCACACCAAACATGATTGTGCAAAAAATGTGTACAATACTTGACTCATCAATTTCGAAAATTTGTAAACTCTACATTAAGGGCGACTATGAACTTAAATTTACTTTTTTCTGTGGGTAAAAGGTACTTACTGGCTGAAGTAAAATACTATTGTGGGAACTACCTATTTATATATCTACAGCAGAACATTTTTATTATTAGATGTTATTAGATAAAGTTATTTTGCTTTTCGGTAAATATCGATACTGACAATCTCCTCTACATTGTTAAAAACTCTAAGAATTTTTGTTGTTTCATTATAACAGTGTTTTGTACTAAGTACAAGTTGCCTCTTTTGAGAAAACGCGTTTTTAGACCTCATGGCGTAGACTGTGCTGCCCTCTGACGGCGGACTGCCTAAGCTCCGCCAAAACTGTGGGCATTGCCAAAAATTTGACTCTTATTATACTTATTTTATAATTCAAATGTTTTCACTAATTTTACCAATGTAAAGAATTAAATGTAATTTTAATTTCTACCATTTCTTAAATACCAATAAAAATATTAAACTTGATTTCCTTATATCATTTTTTAAAGGTGCTAACGATGCAAAACGATTGTCATATCATTATTATCAAACCTAATGATAAAAAATGTCTTGAACCAGAAAAAAGTTTCCAACTAACTGACCTTGTATCACCTAGCAGTGAACAGATCACCTAAATTGAATGCTCCAACTAGTCTTAACCTCAATATTTACATACTTGTAACCTATTCTCAAAACGCTCATCTAAAGTTTATTTTGTTTACCATTAAATTAATATAACAAAACACTAAATTTTAAATAGTCATCAGAACTCTACTAAATTAATAATTGTTACATATATTAATTAATTTTTTCAATTAAGGTTCTGAAAATTTCAATTTACATTGGCTTTAATATTGTTACGTTTCTGACAAGAAAAAATTGAAACATTTTAGGAATTTTATTGTGATTTCAAAGTAATCCATAGAAAAACAATCGAATGATGCATAAATATTCCACGGCAATCTTGATTTTATAAATCATCCAGTAAATAAACCAAAATCTTGCGGAAATTGTCTGGTGGTTCTAATGTCAAAAATTCATAGTTATTTACTAGTTATTCTGAGTACAATTCAATGCTAGATGTAGTATTATTCCGCAAGAGTAGTTGTTTCATACAATATCATCACTTAAAACTATATACATAATATACATACATCGTAGTAATAAAAAAATGATAGGACATGAAAAATTAAGAAATATACCAGGTGTTTTATTTAAAAAGAGACAAGTTTGGCTTACAACTCTGAATTGCAACTTTCAATTGTTTTCTGAAATATTTCTTCGAAACTACGAGAAAATTTACTGAAACTGTAATATTTCATATTTGTTTTACATCTAGAAAAAATAAAAAGATAACATGATAGAATTTTATGTGAATATCCTTGTCCACATTACATATACAGGTTGTCCAAAAAGACATTGAGTCCTATCAGACGAAATTTCAGATAGAACTTGTACGATATTAAAAAATCAATATGCCGGCAGCTCTGGATTTGACTTTGACCCTTAAATCTCAAGGCTACCTTGAAAATATCAGATGGAACACCCAATTTTTGCCAGGAATTGATAGTTGACATTAGTTCGACCTTGAGATTTGTGGTGAAGATTAAATCCAAGATCGCCATTTAATTTGTAGTTCAAAATCCTTGGTTTGGAACAGTTGTGTCAAGTTATTCAGAGAAAAATGAGTTTGACCTCTAAATGACTTGCAAGGACATACAGAAAAAAATTCCATCCCATATTCAGAGTAAAATTTGACGTTCTATCAATTGCCGGCATACAAAATTTCATTCTATTAAGTAGTTTCAAGGTGACCTTAGTGCAGGGATGCACATACCGCGGCCCGCTGTCGATGTTTATGCGGCCCGCCAACGAATTTTAAAAGTATTCTACTCGCCGCGCTCCGGTCCAAGCATATTATTACGAGACTAGAAATCTGTCGCATCAACTAGATTACAGATTCGCGAAACACGTCGATCCCCGAACAAAGTGGATGGTTCTCGATGTTTGGTAACTCGTATAAATACGACGCATCGCCGGCTACCGGGGCAGTTAAGTTTTGACTACGGATAAGCGAACGTTATACTGTTTGAGAACTGTAATCTGTGACGAGTAAATATTTCGTCGTTCGAACTTGGCTTTTACCGACTGTAACATATAATATTAATTTTGATATGGATAAACCAGGCCCCAGTAAGAAACGTAGTCGTAAGGTTGAAGATGAAAATCGACAGTTTCATGATATTTGGACCGAAAAATACTTTTTTATTTCATCGCATAACAAAATTGTCTGTTTAATATGCAAGAGTAGTGTTTCTATTCCGAAGGAATATAATGTGAAAAGGCACTATGAAACCCAGCATCCAACTTTTACCAAATTAACTGGCGAAAATCGAACGCAAAGAATTTCCACTTTACAACGGGAACTAATAGGCCAGCAATCTATGTTTACAAAACCAATTCAAGATGCTGAAACAGCCACTGAAGTTAGCTTTGAAATATCTCGAATAATAGCGAAAACTTGTCGGCCTTTTAAAGATGGTGAGTTTGTTAAGCAATGTTTGGATATCGCCGCAAAAAAAATTTGTCCGGAAAATGTAAAGAAGTTTGAAAAAATTCAGTTAAATCGGATGACTGTTCAAAGAAGAATTACCGCATTAGCAGATAATATAGAAGAGCAATTAGCTACGAAATCGAGAAGTTTTGAGTATTTTTCTATAGCGCTCGACGAATCTACAGATATAAGTTCAACTGCTCAACTATTAATATTTTTACGAGGTGTAACGCAAAATTTTGAAGTGAGTGAAGAACTGATTGGTATGAGTTCTTTGACAAGTCAAACCAGGGGAAGTGACATGCTCAAAGCTCTTCTAGAAAAATGTTCTATAATGGATTTGGATTTAACGAAAATATCTGGAATTACAACTGACGGAGCACCTTCAATGGTTGGAAGTACATCTGGGATAGTAACTCTGTTAAAAACATATTTACAAACTAAAAACATAAATACCAAGGAATTAATGCAGTTTCATTGTATTATACATCAAGAGGCCCTCTGTTCAAAATTATTGGGATTTGAAAATGTTATGAAAGTTGTAGTACCTACCGTAAACTTTATAAAATCACGAGGTCTCAATCACCGACAATTCAAACAATTTCTCGAGGATATTGAAAGCGAATATGGTGATCTCCTGTTTTACACTGAAGTAAGGTGGCTAAGTCGTGGGTTGACACTACAGCGATTTCTTAACTTGATTGAAGAAATCCAACTATTTCTGGCGGAAAAGAAAAACGACGTCCCCGAACTCGACAACCCTGATTGGCTGTGTGACTTAGCGTTTCTTGTAGACATCACAAATCACTTGAATGTCTTAAATACGCGACTCCAAGGCAAAGATCAATTGATTTCGCAGCTATACTCTCATGTTTCGTCCTTTCAATGCAAATTGAGTCTTTTCAGGACACAAATCAATTCAGCCAATTACGGCCATTTTCCGAACTACAAAAAAATTATGGAGAAGTTCAATAAAACTGACGTCAATTTCGCTCATGTTGAAAAAATTGATATTTTGATACAAGCTTTTGAAAATCGTTTTGTAGACTTCAAAAAAGTTAAACCGCTATTGGACATTTTCAGCAATCCTTTCAACATTTCACCCGAAAATGCGCCGGAATTAATGCAGCTGGAATTAATAGACATGCAAAATGATGATAATTTAAGAAACAAATTTAATGAAGGTAATTTACTCAACTTCTACCGTTGCGTTGATAAAAACGCTTATAAAGAGTTGCGAATAAATGCATTGAAATGCGCAAGCTTATTTGGATCGACGTATATTTGTGAACAAACGTTTTCAGTGATGAAACTTAACAAAACGAAAAACCGAAACCGTCTGGCAAATGAAAATTTGGAAGCAATTATACGTGTGGCTACAAGTAATGTGGAGCCAAATATAAAAAAACTTGTTAGTTCAATGCAATGTCATGCATCAAAATAATAAAACATGAAATATTACATTGTAATGATTACATAATTATTACAACAAACATTTTTGAAGGTTATTTTATTTTTATCATTGTATTTCATACTATTTAAAAATAAAAAAAATTGTGTTAATAAATATTGTTTGTAGTGGTACGTCCTTGGCTTATATTTTTCCCGAGTGGCCCCTGTTACCTATAAGTCTGTGCATCCCTGCCTTAGTGTGACCTTGAAAATTAATGTCACGACTAGATTCAAGGCCACCAGCACATTGGTTTCTTGATATTCTTACAACATTTATCTGAAACTCTTTTCTTTAATAGGACTGAATCCTGAAAAGTTATCGGTAGTTTGGTTCATTTTGAGATATCCTGTACATTATATCATATCCAAACTTGCTTAGTTTAGACTTCCATTAAATCCAAAAAAATTTAGATTTATTTGAAAGAAATGAACATTTCTTGCCATTTTTGGCACCCTCAAGTGGCTAAACGGAAAAACCTTACGACGACTACTTCAGTGACGTCTTACTTTGACCCCCAAGAATATATCGCTATATACAAAATATTTGGACATCCTGTATATAGAAAATCTTAATATCTGTCTTACCTTCAACAAAGACGGATTGTCCCCTGTGGTACCACCGTTTCTCATAAAGCAACTTCCCGTCCTCTATCCTAGTCTCTATCAACGGTATGTCGTTCATTTGTTGAATCGACAATCCCTACAAAATAAAATGCAGCGAAATTCGGCCTAGTGTGCTTTGCATATACATTTGTTTACTTATTTGTTTCATGATGTTTCTAGAATATGTCCTCTTTCTTTCTATCATGTTCTTAGAAACTTAGAGATTGTTCTTAGAAAGCCATGGAAAGTTCGAGAAACAAAGAAAAATATATAAACAATCGTGCCAATGAGTGGGGAAAGTTTGTTGAGGTTAAGTTGGTATTTGTTACTGTGAATTGTTAAAGTTGTAAACGGTGTGTTAAATAAAGGAAATTCAGTACAATAAGAACAAGTATAATAAAGTTTAATGTTTAAACAATTACCTGCAAATGCGCGGGGCTAGAGGATGAGCAAGAATTCTCGCTTTGCTTCCTCATCGGCGTCTGAAGCTTCCCTTTGTTAATCTGCCTCAGATCGTTCTCCACGTCCTTCTCATCGAGGAGGTACGTGATTTGAGCTGTAGGCGCCTTCCTGCGCTTCTCCGGCAACGGCATGGGGTCGTTGGGCCTCCTACGCAGCTTCCTCGTCATTACAGGCTTCACCTAAAAAACAAATAAATCGTTAATACAAATACCCAGTTTTTCTGTGTCGTAATACCTCCATAGAATCCCCAGTAAGTTCCATGGAAAACCGTTCTGCCTCCACTGTACGTTTCTTGTCTTCTAGATCGGATATCAGGGTTTCCTTCAAGTCGATTTTCTTTTCCTCGAATTCCCTCGCCGCGGCTTTCTTCTCTTGTAAATAATCCCTCTCTACACAATCTATCAAGTAGTCTCTGTACAAAACGTTCAAACGCAAACGCTCCTTATACTGATATTCTAGCTTTTTCACTTTCTTATTATATTCATAATGTGTACCTGAAACGTAAATTAATTATTACATATCTGACCACTTTTTACGATACTAACCATCTTTAAGTTGCTGCAATTTTTTCTTTAAATTGGCCAGTTTGTCCTGGTACATCTGTTCCTTGATCTCCAGAGGCTCTTCTTGTCTACCTACAAAAGCAACACTTAATATCGTTAGGTACCGATGAAACTATTCATTCAAACCTGTATCGGTTTCGCTGGCATCTTCGGTGTCCTCATTGCTTTCGTCCTGGGGTTCGTCGTTCTCCCTGTCGTCTTCATCCTCGTACCTGTCGTCGTCGTATTCGAAGTCCTGGTTGTATGAATTGGAGTATGGTGAGCCAAAATACGACATTGTCCCTTTTAGAAACTAGATTCCATAATTGAAATATACTCTATTGGTTTATTAAATAAAGTTTTTAGGCTGACAAATCTGGTTTTCGGTTTACTTTTAAAGTTTGTGTAAGAAAACACGAACGCTTTTCTAATACGCTGTCATAAAATTTTTAGGTTAGAAACAACAAAACATCGATGTCAATTAATTAGTGTCAACCATAGACTAAGCCAATAAGATCCGAAGGCTCGTAGAGAGAGATAACTAAGAAAACCTCAACGGCGCCCTCGGTGACGGTACGATGAAAAACTTCAGTGAAAACATTTCTTACATATGTAACCTCGATATATTGTATAAATACAATTGTATTATATGGTAAAATTATACAGGGTGATCGAGAATGATTGACCGTGCCGCATCATACTGATTTTTGATGTGCGGCACACCAGTTTTTGATACCAATACTAGAATCATGAGCGCAGGTTGAGGGATTTTAATGGTAAACAAATAATTACGTTCAAACGTCAAATAAATTAGGTTACTGTCAAAATGGAAATTCATAATAAAAATATCAATTATTTAACAAAAATCAAAGTTATTTCACAAATTAAGCAATACTGATGGACCAATAAATGTTATTATTGTTATTATTATTAAAGAGGATGACAGAATCAAATGTAGGTTTAGCCTAACTTTTCCAAAATTCTTATTTCATTTACAATTAGAAAAACTTTTAAATCAAAGTTTGATGTAGCTAATTTTGAATAACGACTGTAAGTGCTTCAGCGATTTTATTTTTAAAACGTTATGAGTTAATTTTAAAACAGAAGCACTATTGTGGCTACATTCTTGGCATCTAAGACGATTCAGCTATACAGCGATACGCTGCAAGCTGCTGTTNCTTTTCAACTTTTCAACTTTTCAACTTTTCAACTTTTCAACTTATCAACTTTTCAACTTTTCAAGATAAATAAAGACAACCGTTAAAATATTAAAAATAAAAAAAATTATTATTATTATTCTATGATTCTACAATACAGAAATGTGTATATAAAATATTTTTTATTCCATGTACAAAAGAAAAAAAAACAAATCTTGAATAAAAAAAGAATTTATATAAATATACTATTCTAACATTCGATTTGTACAGATTGCCGACACTGGTAAAAACTCGAAATAGCCCAAATTGGCGACTGGCTATTTTTGCTTTTTTTTTCAAGTAGCCGAAAGTCATCTGAGATAGCCCAATTGGCGATAAGTAGCCCAATCTGACAACTCTGGATGTCAATTAATTAGTGTCAACCATAGACTAAGCCAATAAGATCCGAAGCCTGGTAGAGAGAGATAACTATGAAAACCTCAACGGCGCCCTCGGTGACGGTACGATGAAAAACTTCAGTGAAAACATTTCTTACATATGTAACCTCGATATATTCTATAAATACAATTGTATTATATGGTAAAATTATACTATATTTATACAGAAAATTATATAAGAAAATAATAGAACAAGACAAAAGACAAAAAAAGACACAAGATAAAATAGCAAAGACAACAAACAACACTTAGACCACTGAAAAATTACTTGTTTATAGTTTTTCCGAAGTCAGTTGAACATGCAAAAAAACGCCTGGCAATAAAATTTAATGACTTTCATAGGTGTCCCTAAAATTGTTTTCTGCTAAACGTACAAAATTATAATAATTTGTATACAATGTGTAGAAAATTTCTATTATATGTTCATTTGGGCAACAACATAATTTAATTATTTATGTCCTCAAACAATTTTATTATATTGATGGTAAATTTAGTTTTGTTCCGTTTCAAAAGGTCTCCAAAATGCCATGTTGTAATAGTATTATTTCTTCCTTTCGCAATTGTAATATAAATGATTAATAGAAGGTGCCTATAAAAAATTAAAATTACCTAAATCGCACCAAATTCCGTATTGCTGCACTGCACTGCTGGGCAATTTGTCAACCACTTGTCAACAGCTGAGATTTATTGCCCAGTCCCAGTAGCCCAATGCGGTTGTGTTATATTTCGTTTGCCTGCGCTCGTATTCTTTAACTGGGCGTATACATTTCTACCACCTCCACGTGTAGTTCGACCAGACTTGTATATGGGTATGGCTAAATAAATATGGGAACAAGTTTTTCAAATATTTCAATGTCGAGTTGCTGTAGTACATACCGTCAACGTCTAGTTCTTCAATTGAAATCGGAAAGACTATACCATAGACGTCACAGTGGCAAGTTATTGACAACCAGCTTGTAATATATTGCACACAATTTGTAATTAGCGCCCTCGTCAGCAGTACGATGAAGTATTCTGCAGTTTTACAAGAAATATAAACCAGATTCATCTGAGGTTTTTAAATTTGCTTCTGTTAGAGAGACATCTGTCTGTGGTCTTTTCCATAGCCTGTAATGACTTTAAGTGGCTTTTTGCCGCGTGACCTCACGCCGTGGAGGCGTAGGTTAGCTGCGGTTGAAGTACCACTTTGATAAGCGTTCGCTTATTCCTTAAACTGAGTGTCTGTGGTCTGTGTTATACTTCTCTAATCTAGGTGTCAGTCTGGACTGGATATTATTTCTATGGTGAACGTCAACACAGTTTTTAATATTAACCAATCACGATCCTCAATTTTTAAAATACACCAATCCTGCAGTCCTGCAGTCTGCACTCCTGCAGCCTGCAGCAGATCTTGTAATCTTCAATTGAAATTTTCATAAAATCAGAATCAAAAGAAGTGAATTTATTAGATAGATTTATTTAATTCTTCGTATCAAAATAAAAATTAAGCGGCATAAGTGTTTTAAAAAGAATGAAGTGAGTTTTTAGATTGCACTAACATTTATTTCTACATCGTTCCAGTATATTTGAGGTTAAGTTGCTTTTCCATGTGTTTAATACATTAAAAAGTTGCAATTATACTTGCTATGGCGCAAAAGACGAAACAGGACATGAACATTCATTTAGTACCAGAAAACATAAATTTTTCCCTATTCACAACTGAACAAGTAAAGAAATTATGTGTCACAAAGATTGTAACACCACTTATGTTAGACGCTTTGGGGCATCCTTTGCCTGGAGGCTTATACGACAACAAATTAGGTAAGTGTTAATAACGAATGTTAGTACCTTTATTGATTTTTATGATGCTAGGACCACTTTCTGACAGAGGCGAGCCTTGCGGGACATGTCAGAAAACATTATTAAACTGTCCCGGACATTTCGGATACATCGAGCTCCCATTGCCCGTTGTAAACCCGATGTTTAGCAAAATTATAGGAATGTTACTGAGGATGTCGTGCCTTTCGTGCTATCTCATTCAAATACCAAGTAAGTGGATATACTTAAATGCGGATAGTAACGATAAATTTGCTTTGCTGTTTTCAGCACACATAAAACGTTCTATATCCATCCAGATCAAGTTGCTAAACGCCGGGCTAGTCACTTTATCCATAGAGGTGGAAAGTACCATTGCACAATTAATTGCCACTTACAACGCTTATGAAAATATACCCGAGGAGGCAATTGTTCCGATCCTAGCTTACGAGAAACTAGCGAATCATACTCTAAGTAAGAAATTTTATTTTTGTATAATTCGACAATGGAAACGATTTATTTATTTGTTTTTGTAGGGGAATTGGGATCTAGTGTTTTGAGCCAGAATACGGAGACGTTGCAAAATCAGTTTTTAAGCGGGATATTAAAGGAAGTAAAAGTTGGGAAGTTATGTATGTACTGCAAGAAACCGATAAACAAGATTCAGGTTTTGAAGAACAGGATCATTATGGTTACGAGTAAGGTGGGCGTGTAAGTAAAAACTGTCAAAATTGTTCCGTAGTTAAGCATAAGAATAAAAATATGCTTTTACCTTTAATTAACCTTCTTTTTTTTCCATTCAATTTTAATTTTTTCTTCATTTATTTAAATAAAAATGCTATCTGTATATTTTTTTTATTCATTTGTTTACATGGAATTATACAGAGCCTTCATATGTTTTACTTTTAATTTTATTTCCTTTACGTGGCAATTAAAATTCAGAAAAATAAAAAATCTCTAAAACTTAGGTTAAGATTATGTTAAAACACAACATTCTGTTTCGTCGGCTGTGAGTGATATAATTTTTCGCAAGATTTTATTCAAGCATTCAGCGATCACATTATCTCTGTTTGTTGTTCATTGTAAACGAATCATTATTATTGGCGGCGCTAGGATTTTTAGCTGACAGTATCAGCCTTGCAATGTCGATTGTAATCATTTATGAAGATTGTACGTTGGTAAAATCATTAGTTATACATTTAGAATACATTAAATGTGGCGAAAATTTTTTAAATTTCTTTCAAATAACTCAAAAATGTTTGGTCCGATTTAAATGAAAATCGGTATGGTACTTTTTGACATAACCAAAGTAGTTGCATTTACAGAAATGGGAAATATCCTCATTCCTCGGCAAACGTGCTCGTATGCGTTTTGTTGGATTGATTTTGGAATTGAATTAGCGGTGGGGAGGTCAAATTTGTGAGGTTACTTAGGTAGCGGTGTAGCATTGGCCTGTTGATATTCGGCGTCTGTCTAATATCAGATTTGATTCGAATTGTTTGATTGATAAATGTCATTTTAAGGAATCGAGTAAATCCAGGATTGATCCAACAAAACGCACCTATTGTTTTGTGGCGATCTTACAACCTCGGTTCTTGTTATTACTCTAACGGTTTTTGTGTAATNATAACAAGATATAGCCGAAAAAAAAGAAGGCTAGGACATGATTGGGTACTCACGTTATAAAGTAAACAAAAAATATTATAAAATGAATTCTGACTTCAAATTCGTAATCAGCGACCCCGAAAACTTCCGTATATCAAATTTGGCGCTAATCTGTTATTTTTTGAAAATTTGGTCGGCCATCTTGGATCCGCCATCTTCAATTTTGCAAAATTGACCTCGGATCCGTGATCAGCGACCCCGAAAACCCCCGTAATCCAAATTTGACGCTAATGTGTTATTTTTTGAAAATTCGTGATATCTGACCTTAATTGATCCGTTTTTTTGAGGTTAGAAAAAGAACCATCAATTCTGACCGCGGATTCACGTTCGGCGGAGTCTTAACCATTAAATGAACATTTGAATAGAGAAAAAATAAATTATTTGTACTTTTCCTAACACTTTTTTGTGAATTTTTGCCATTTTTGACCTGTTTTTTGAGGTTAGGAAATTCCTGTGATGTGACAGCTCAATTCTGACACATGAAATGAAAAGTACAGATAACTTTTTCTTTTTTTTTGTGTGGCTGTGTAATCCATGGCCAGCTTGAATTTTTTATGGGAGCAATTTTTAGAAAATCGCTTTAGGCATTTTTTTAATTATAAGTCTAGCTACATACCCTTAAATTAAGATTACTTAAAACTCCAGTAACTTAAATTTCATCGACATCGACATCGACAGAATATGTTTTATACAGGATTTATGTTTTAAATTCGCTAAGTTTCTATTTCAATGTATAAACCTAGGAAGCTTTGGAAACGATTGAGGCAGAAAAACTGACCAATTACCGACACTGGTAATTACGATTGGCAAATAATAGAGAATAGACCTAAAATGGGCATTGTCAGCAATTATTGTTTTATTTTTCATCTTCATTTGTTTCCAAAGCCTTCTAGATTTTTAAACTGAAACCGAAATTTCATAAATTTAAAATATCAAGTCTGTATAGATCAAATCTTCTGAATTATAAATTGTTGAAATTCGAGACATTGAAGTTTCAAATGATGCTGGTTAATTTTTAATAAAAAAACTTCCTAAAAAGTCACCTACAAAAAATCGCAGTGGATCATAGATAGCGAAGAGATTGTCGTGGTATAACAGGTACATCCACTGTGAATAAAAAAAAATTCACTTTAACCATGTGTTCCAAAAAAATTTATTGCAACATTCTGGGCTAAACTGTTTATATTTTAAATTATTTTTAAGCGATGACAGTAACGGTCCTTTGATGTCGCAGACAATTAGAGGCATGGAGTCCAAATATGTGAATCCCGAAGAGTCTCGGTAAGTAAATTCGTTATCCCCGAATCGTTTACAGACTTAATAATTTCACAATTTAGTAAGGATTCGTTAGATGGCATTTTAGTTTAACATGACGAAGAAAAACATAAAATTTGACATTTTTTTTTTAAGGCAGTATATGCGACGTATTTGGCAAACGGAACGGGAATTCTTGGAGCAATTTGTGTCGGTATTAAAAAACGTCGATACCGAACATCCAACGGACGTATTTTACTTCGACGTATTAGCTGTGCCACCGCCCAACGTAAGGCCGGTAAGCTTGCATTTTCTTCGCTTTTTCGTTTTCTAGAAACAAAATTCGTTCCAGGTCAACATAGTTCAGGGAAGGATCATCGAGAACAAGCAGTCGATGACGTACAAAACGATCCTGCAGTGCGCCATCCTGCTCAGGGCTATTATACACGTTGTTCAGAAGAAGGGCGATCATAACAGTTTGACGTCTACCGAGGCCAAGGTAATTAGCGATCCGTTAAGTCTTTTTTACCGCTAGACGCCAGTGTTGTTTGTAGGCGGCTTACAGTTACGCCAGGGGAAACACGCCGATCGAAAAGTTGAACAATGCTTGGGAGGAGTTACAGGACAACGTGAACGGTTTGGTCGATAAGGAATCAGTCCGTAGAAGCGAAGGAGAGGGACTGAAACAGGTACGTGGTTATAACAAATGATTATGGTAACAGAAGTTACTTGTAAACTACAAAAAAAATTGTAACAGGGGACCTGTAAAGCAGAAAATTAGTCACTGTAGCAATATTTTCCTCTGAACGGCTAGTTTTTTTTTTTCATTGTAACAGAACCCGTTTGTTCAAATTTGCAATTAAATCTATTCAGTTTTTTCATTCGCGGTATTCCTTCTACCGAAAATTCCACGTAATTTATGCACAGTCTCAGCTACACACTCTCTGTACTTGTAATGAATTTTCATAATCTTCAGTCGCTCATCCATTGTTTAGCGCTCCTTTTTATCTAACCGTAACGTGTTTACTACAACATGAGGCTGCATAATTCTTCGGAATGAAAATGACGCACAATTCAAATCCTGCGTTATTTTTGGAACACCTTTTATTAAAAAATAAATCACTAATCTGATTCATTTGAGATATTTTTCAGTCATTTCAAGTGTGTAATAAGAGGTGTTTAAGCACTGTGTTTAGTTTATGAATCTCGGTATCAGTAACCTGTGACACCTCTGGTTTATGTGGACTACATAATAGTGATCCATCTGATGTGACATGACAATAAGGCAATGGCTAATTTTGACGAAACTTCGTGAAAGTATCAGAGATATTCATTTTTTCCAGTCTGAAACACTTTTTTTTCAAAGAAAAATTCTACTTAGGAAAATCATCGTACAGAGTTCTGCCGGTGATCATTCTTTTCGTTTTGACATATACTTTTTGGTGAAATAATAAAATCTGTAATCACAGTTCAAAAACGTGCTCAAAAATGCAAAAAAATAAAAAATGACTTGCAACAATGAATTTTTCAGTAATTGTTGATAATTTTTTTAAATAAAAATAAATTCAAAAACTGATTACTCCATTCAATTCTACGCAAAAAAATACAAAAAAAACTGTCATTTTATTTTGGCACAATATTGTTATAAACTATACGAGTATATGTCGAATTATAAATGCACAAATGATAAATTATCTCTGGATTATTGGAGATTTCAGCAATACAAAGTATTAACTGGAAAGTCTACTGTTGTCGTGAAACCCAAAAACCCGAAATTTTGCAAAATCATTTTATTTTTTTCTGGTTTTTTGCTTTTTTCGCTCTATCCAATGGCGTCAACATTTTTGCAATCCGACGTTTCGTCTTCGACGGGCCATCATCAGGTTCATTTTTTTAAATACATCACTGCTATGTTTATGACAAAATCTAGTCATTTTTAATTCTGAATTAGATGGTATTACTATTGTAATCACTTGAAAAGGTTTTTAGCTAAATAAAATATCCAACAATTTTTTTTTAATGAATAATTTAAAAAGTTACCGAGTTATATATGAAATGTTTTATTATTTCTAATTAGTACTGCTAATAGTTGTTGGATATTTTGTGCTGTATTGACTTTTATACTGTTATGACTTTGAAAGCGTTCAGAGCCGTACTCAGGAAAAATTTTAAACGATAATTAAAACAAGCTAAAAACTTTTTAAAAGCGATTACATCATCTAATTTAAAATTAAAAATTGCTTTAGATTTGGTCCAAAAAATAGCAGCGAGATATTTAAAAAAATTAACCTGATGATGGCTCCTCGAAGACAAAACGTTGGATTGCAAAAATGTTAACGCCATTATATAGAGCAAAAAGTGGCATTGTAAATATGCAATTTATGTTAAAATTCGTTTTCAAATAATGCCAGAAAAAAATTAAACAATTTTGCAAAATTTCGGGTTTTTCAGGATATCTCCGAAACTACCTACCTGGAATTTTAAAACTTTCTAAATGGCATATTGTTAGGTATAAAACAAACACAACTTTTTCTAATCTGAGCCACCCCGTATCTCTTACCGTTTCCTAGATACTAATGCTATCCCCATCCTTATCTTGGACACACTGTATATCTATAAATTGATCTAAATTTAAAAAAAATAAGTACATTAATTGATCCTATGGAAAAAAAAAATATTTATTTTATTTATTCACTATTCGACTTATGTTTATAGCAATACTGTGCAAAAATAAAGTTGTGGGTCGAACAATGAGACAGTTTTTTTTTTGTATTTTTTCCATACAATTTAATTGTGTAACCAGTTTTTGAATTTTTTTTTAAATTTAAACAAATTATCAACAATTACAATGAAAAATTCATTGTTGCAAGTAATTTTTTATGTTTTTTGTTTTTTGAGCATGTTCTTGAACTGTAAATACAGATCTTTTTATTTCACCAAAAAGTATATGTTGAAACGAAAAAAATGATCACCGGTAGAAAGAACTCTGTGCAATGATTTTTCTAAGTAGAATTTTCTTTGAAAAAAAGTGTTTCAGACTGGAGCAAATGAATATCTCGGAAACTGTTGATTTTTTTATCTAAAAAAATTTACGGTTATTTAAAACACAGAAAGGAATACTTTCACCGAGTTTCATCAAAATTAAATTATTTTTGAGGAAATGAGAAATAAAAAAACGAAAAATAAGAAAAAAATCTGTTCTTCGCATTTTTCTCGGAAATTTTGAGGTTATCGTAAAAAGTGATCTCTACAAAGTTGTAGATTTTTGCATGATCTACAACTTTTGTATTGGATACTTTTTTGTTTGACGTCAACTTTCGCCAGAAATCCCAATGATACAATTTTTCACAACTTTTCAATCCCCCAAAGTAACCCTCCGCTACTCCTGCTCACGCATTTATTTATTTTTTTTCGTTTATTATAAGCCCCTTTACCGTTTCCACTTAGAAAAGTCCAGGTAACAATTTTCTTTTTTTTCCCTCTAAATGAGTTATTTCGATCGGTCTAAGATAATGTCGCAGTTTTAGAAATCAAGACGGATAAGGCTTGATAACAATAAAATATAACAAAAATATAGCAGCAGATTAAGATTTTTTTTAAATTATAGATAATAGAGAAGAAATCGGGCATCGTCCGCATGCACATGATGGGAAAACGTGTCAACTTTTCAGCTCGTTCCGTCATCACGCCGGATCCCAACCTCAACATCGACGAGATCGGTATTCCGGAAGAATTCGCCAAACGATTGACATATCCCGTACCCGTGACGCCTTGGAACGTGGAAGAGCTGCGGAAGATGATCATGAACGGTCCCAACGTCCACCCCGGGTTAGTCCGATTCGATACTTTTTAATTTACTTTTATTTTCCTTTAGCTTTATTCGAATTTCGGCAAGAAAACGTTATATTATTATTTCGCTTAGGGCTGTTATGATCGAAAGTAACGGTATCGTGAAGCGGATAAATCCGAACAACGCCACACAGCAGAAGAGCATCCTGAAGTGCCTCTTGACGCCAGACGATAAGGAAAAAGGCTTCCAAACGGTTAAAATTGTACGTACCAGGATTAATATGATGAAAATTCGTACTATTGAAGCGTTTCTATGTAGGTGCATCGCCATTTGTGCAACGGAGACGTCCTTCTGTTGAACCGTCAACCGACGCTGCATAAGCCGAGTATAATGGCTCATACCGCGAGGATACTCAGAGGAGAAAAGACGCTTCGGCTTCACTACGCTAATTGTAAGGCTTATAACGCCGACTTTGACGGGGACGAGATGAACGCTCACTTCCCACAGAACGAGCTGGCTAGGAGCGAAGGATACAATATAGGTGAGGTTCAATTTCTTTGAATGCCATTTGGACTATTGCTTGCTTCCCCATCCACTTTAACTTGATCTGTTGCTCATAATTGTAGAACTAAATGTTAGTCGTCGAGTAAATACATATTTGACAGTTGACTACTGCGTAAAAAAACAATTGTTTTTAAATGTCTTAACCTAACCTAACTTAACCTAATTTTATTGACAAACTAGGCATTTCAACTCATGCAATAAACGATATGGTGCTCGTTGGCTCCTGTCATCTGTCATTCTTAGCAAATTTACATTTACTTGTACTCTTAATGTCTTTTATACAGGGTGGTCCAGATTTTAATAGACAAACTTCGGGAAAGTACTAAACAACAAAAATTAACATCACTTCACATCACCCAAATGTGTACCAAATTTGGATAAATTTGATGAAGCGGTTTTCCAGCTATTTAAAAAAATTGTTTTATTTTTGATAATTTCAACGCCCTGTATCTCATAAACGGTGGCTTTCTGCCCCTATGTTCATAAAGCAGTGATGTTAATTTTTGTTGTTTAGTACTTTCCCGAAGTTTGTCTATTAAAATCTGGACCACCCTATATATCCCACACTATAGCCAAACTTTGCTTATCCCGGTTTTTCTTGATTAATAATTTAACAAACTTGTACCGATAAGTTAGGTTAAGTCGGGTTAGGTTTTTCTGTCATAAAAATGTACGAAGAAGACCCAGGTTCTAAAAATTGTTCTATCTCTGCTTTTTGTCGCACAAGAAATGCGTAACGCGAGTGTAATCATATCTTTTGCTTTGCTTTTGTGCGTTTAATTTGTTTCAAGCACCAAAATATATTAAAATATTGAATTCCTAAATTAAAGCCGTTACATACAGTGTGTCCCGTTATGGTTAACACCTCTAGAAATGTGAGAAGGCTGTGGACTTTCCGCAAGTCAATTTCTTCCACAAATGGTACCCTGAAGTGAGGTTAGATTCTACTAATCATTTTATTGATGTAATAAAAGCCTGACCTACTACGATTTTTTAACAGGGTCGTTTTCCCAGAAAGTAGTATTAGGCATATTTTTATCTCAAAGATAATATTACCAGGCTATTCAACACCCATCAAAATATCCATATACCAAATTTGAACGACAAATGTCTATGGAGTGCTTTTTATGTGGTGCCAAACTTCGAAAAATTAGAGAACTAAAAATTATAATAAGCAGGTCAAAGATTGCCATGAAAGTGAAAACAAGTACCAATCGGACAAAGAAAAAATACAGAGTATAAATTTAACACTTTTAATTGCAGCCATAGTAAAAATAATAATTAACGTACAAAAAATGTAGGTAATGAATTATAAATATGTATTAAGTTGTTAAATAAAAAATTGCAGAACAATCTAAATTAAATTTTAGTTTTCTCGAACTATGTACTTTTACTTTTGGGGTTTTATAAAACAAAATGTTTATAAAAATAGACCAAGGAATTTGGATGATCCAATAATAATGAAATGCATTCACAACGGCTATGTAAATAATTTTTAAATTTAAGAAAACTTAATTTAGATTAACGTTTTACAATTTTTTTGTTTAACAACTTTTTTTTGAGTTATTATTTTTATAATTAATTAATAATAATTAATGTAATTATTTATAGTGTCTGTATTTTTCTTTCTCCGATTGGTATTTGTTTTCACTTTCATGGCAATCTGTGACCTGCTTGTTATAATTTTTAGTTGTCTGATTTTTCGAAGTTTGGCACCACATAAAATATCACTCAATAGACATTTGTCCTTCAAATTTGGCATATGGGTATTTTAATGGGTGTTGAATAGCCTGGTAATATTATGTTTTTAATAAAAAAATATCTAATACTACTTTCTGGAAAAACGACTCTGTTAAAAAATCGTAGTAGGCCAGGCTTTTGTCATATCAATAAAATGATTAGTAGATTATAACTTTCTTTGAGAAATTGAGTTATGGAAAGTCCACAGCCTTCTCACATTTCCAGAGGTGTTAACCTGAAAAACGGGACACACTGTATATTTGATACTTCAATTTTAGATGGGTTGTTAAATAAAATATACCTACCGTTTAATGTATAAAATCTCATCCACTCCAATAGCAGTTGGACATTCACATAACCTTACAATAACTGTTTGCCAACCATAAACTTTGTAATGTAAGGTGTTATTCTTTGTATCGTGGTCTATAGATGCCAACGACTGCCATATTGCTGACATCACACTGGAATAATTTAAGCTGTTTTTTTTTCTGTGATAAATGTGTTCGATTCAATTCAAAAATAATATTTTTGTGTTGAAATTTTTAAAATGTCCGTTGAGACAGGTTTGAAGTGTTTAGTTGCCTCGTTATTGGTCTATTCAATTGCCTATAGAATGGAGATTTAAATACCTGAGTTTTTAGTTCTTCATTCCACATTTTTTTTTAATTATGTGAGAAAGACACAGAAATGTGTTATTATATCTCATACTTTCTATAAGTTTCAATTTAAAACAGTATTTTTAGAACGGAATGTGAGTTGTGAGAGTAAGGTTAAGAATAAACAAACAATTGAGGATGTTGCAATTTGAAACAGTCCACTGTGGTTTATTGCAAAGAAAAACAGCTTTAACGGTTAAAGAGTTTCATATGCCTGACGATTGATAAAAGAAAATTCGTGTTAATGGAATCCAGGTTCAAAATTAAAACATGAAATATTTTTATTTCCATAAGAATTTCATTTTATGAAGTTATTTTTGGCCTTATTAATAAATGATTTTAGGTGTTAACAAACTATAACACATTTTTCTAGGTTAAGTGAGGTTATGATCTATAAAATGATTAAAAATCGTTAACATTTTTTGCAAAACAAATAATGCTTCTTTGAACGTTATTTGTTTTTTAAATTTGATCATTGCCTTACGAATTATTTCAGTTAACGTCGCCAATCAGTATCTTGTACCAAAAGACGGCACGCCGCTTAGCGGTCTGATTCAGGATCATATGATAGCAGGGGTACGGATTTCTATAAGAGGCAGGTTCTTTAGTAAGTAAGTATTCCCTTTTCCCAACAATGTAGAATTACAAAACAAATATAATTACAAAGTGATTCACAACTTATTAAAAATTCAGGATATCACCAATAAAGTTATAATAAAATATTAAAGATGTCGAGAAAAAAACTGTTTGAAGCTTGGACTGTGGTGTGTTTATTAAAATGTATTTTAAGTTTCTTTTGCATTTGATTTGACAAATGACTTCAGTATTACTGTGGTTTTCATAGTGCTCTTATTACTGTGGTTTATTGTTTATATGGGTCTGATAAGTGTTCAAACTGGACTATGTGCGCTTGCAATGGAAAACTACTGTGCTAGAAGTTGTGTACAACCTTTTAAACAGCCAATCTTTTAAACAGTAAGTTTTAATTTTTTCGTGATTGAAATACTAACTGACGCCTACTGATTGACGCGATAATTGAGTTTGCCAACACAAAACAGCTTTGACAAAACTCTACTTGTTTATTACATTAAATCTTTTTTTTTGTGCGCTGGGTCAAGTATTCCATTTCACCAAATTTTAGTGGTGTTTAGATAAATATATTTTATCCGTCCTGTTTTAGACCATGGTATTCGTATACATTCTATATTTTTTCTTTTTTTTTTTTGGATAAGTTGTGAATCACCATATATGAAGTTAGGTTATGTTGAGCCTATGATCCAACCTAACCTAACATAACCTTAAACATATTTTTGTGACATATAACCTGTGCAAAAATTAATGGAACGCCATTAATTTTTACAGAGACGACTACCAACAGTTGGTGTTCCAAGCGCTTTCCTTCAAGAAAGGGGAGATTACACTGCTGCCGCCCGCCATAATCAAACCGCAACAGCTGTGGTCCGGTAAACAGATCCTTTCCACGGTCATCATCAACATCATCCCCCAGAGGAGGGCGCCTATAAATTTGACCGCAACGTCAAAGATCCCAGTAAAGGCACGTACATAGACAAAGCGTTTTCTTTTTCTTCAAATTTTGGTGTTGATTTATTTGCGTCGTTGGTTTTAGGCGTGGCAAGCGCGACATCCAAGGAGATGGAAAGCGGGCGGTACCACGTTTTCTAGTCCTATTACGATGAGCGAGACCGAGGTTATAATAAGAGAAGGCGAATTGTTAGTGGGAATTTTGGATAAATCGCACTACGGGGCAACGCCCTACAGCTTGGTGCATTGCATGTATGAGGTGAGTAGTGTGCAAAAATGTGTATGGGTGAGACTTGTTTTTGACATTATTTTCAATTATCGTTATTTCGTTACTTGCTTTTTTAATTTTTTTTTTTGTCTAATCGTTTAATTTATTTTTAATTCATATATCAATTTTTCTTCTCATTATAATTTGCGTTTTCAGTGAAATTTTATATTTGAACAATGTTCACAAAAATACCCTTTAGTCCAGGCGGTATCTGTTTCGGGTTGGGTAAAACGCATATGATCGGAGATTTTTGCTTTAACGGCTTCTAAACAACATCAGAAATCAAAATATTTCTATGCAAATAAAAAAAAAACGTGGGCATAATTGTTATTGCAAAAAAGTATAAAAAAATAGCAAAATAATTTTTTTTTCTTTGATTTCTCGTCGACAACTTAGCAACTATTCATTTTAGACAAAGATGGAAGGGGAAGAAAAGTTTTGTAATTAAATTTTGATCAATATAGAGTTAGTTGCAATTCGAAAAAATAATTATTGTTATTGCAAAAATCGGAAAAATCATTTAAAAAATTGTAAAAATGCTAATTTATTTGTCAATTTCTTTCAGACACTTGAATAACACCTAGGATCTTCATACTTTTCCCAATTAAACTTCTTAGTGCATAGAATCATCACACCAAATTTCATCCAATTCGGTTAGATAATTTTTACATAATAATTGTTTAAATTTTTTATTTTTTTTAAATTAAAAAATTTTCAAAATCAAATTTCTAAAAATCTAAAGCCTTTGAATACTTGAAAATTTCACCACAAAAAGAAGAGCTCTCAAGCTTTAAAATGGTTTTTGAAAAATTCAAATCGGACGCTTAGGTGAGCCGTGGTGATTGTTTAAACACTTTCGCAATT